TTATATATATATCATCAAATATTTCTTCTCAGGTACATTTTTCTTGTCTAAAATATGTTTTTAGTGGATTTTTATGGAAGCCCATTTCCGTCACAGAATAAAACAGTAAAACTGTGACTTTTTATCTTACAATTCTGACTTTTTTTTTCTTGGAATTCTTGCAATTTTCTTTCCAGAAAGAAATGGAAAGTTATAAAATTTACTTTTTTTCTTGCAATTCTGAGTTTATAATTTGCAACTGTGAGAAGAGGAGTCTGAATTGTGATATAAACTCAGAATTCTGAGAAAAAAAGAGTCAGAATTGCAAGATTTAACCTCATAATTGCGAGATATAAACTCAGAATTGCAAAATAAATCAAATAAAATAAAATTGTAAAATAAAAAGTTGGAATGAAATTATTATTATTATTATTTTATCCCATGGTGGAAACATGCTTCCATAGATTTCAGCATGCTGATTGAATCTTTCGCTAAGACAAAACCCTGCAGAAATGTATCTTAATTTCACATTTGTAATTGTATCTTTTTTCATTGTACATTACTCTGTAGAAATATTACTCTTGCCTTTCGGATATGATCACATCCTGTCAGAAGGCGAGATGTTCCGGACAAATGTTTTAAAAAAAAGCAGAAACACTCTTTTGTGTCCATGAGAGGAACTGCAGTCGGCTGACTTCCTGTATCCCAGCATGAGGAGGGTTCGGTGGGAGGTTTCTAACCGATTTTATTATCCTCCCCCCAACATGTATATGTATGGAGTAAGATTATCTGTGCTCTGTGTGGATCAGGAGAATGCAGGTCAGGCTTAAGTAATGCTGAAGGTCAGATGATTAAACCGAGTTTAAGCCACCACACACACACACACACACACACACACACACACACACTCGAACTCAAGACGAGTAGTTGGGTCATGCTTAGAGCGTGTGAGGCTCTTGTCAAAAGCCATTGTTATTTCCATCAGTCACAGTAACAGCTGACTTCAGTGGCTGGAAGCACAGAGCTGCTCTTCTTCAGAGTATTTGAACAAAGTATTAAAACACTTGTTCTACACAAATGATAAAATTAACATCCACTTCCTGCTTTCTCCAACAAAATGAAGATTCCTTAGACTACTTTTCAAAACTAATTCATGTAGTCCTTTAGTTCATTAAGAAAGCGAGGACGTAAACATATCCCAGAATCCCTTGCAGCTTGTCCACATACAATATACAATGGGATAAGGTTTGCTTATTACCAAAGCATTATTTCATTCATAAATATATTGGGGTCCTACAATAATATCAGTAGGCCTATTGTAATATTTCCAGTGTCAGACACAATGATATAAAACAATGTGTAAAATAATAGAATTTAAAACAATTTAAAACAAACAACCAAACAAACATAATCCGGACGAAGAAGCGGCAGCCACAATGCGCCAGCGTTCTCTTCGCCGGAAGCCGTCCCTCATACATATATATATGTATGATTTTTTAAGAACTTCAGGAAATAATATAAAATGATAAAATAATCTATAATTTGAACAATTATTTACATACATTCAATTGTTATTTTTAATTACACAGCATGGCATTCTGGAAATATTGTTGGTGACCATATATAATTACTAGATGTGAAATTGTCAATATATTATTGACATGTTATGTTCATATATTATTTCATAATTTCTGTGGAAATATGCTCTCTTCGTGGTTGCAAGGAGGTAAAAATATCCAAGCTTCCTTTAGAAATGAGTAAAACTGTGTTTTGGAGACAGATGTCCATCTAAAGCCTGATCTGCTGGACCTCTGCAATTGATTCGATGAGAGTTTTGCAGCAGGCTTTTTGTTTGAGTCATATTTGGCTGAAGTTCACCTTCACCACTGCGTTGACTAATGAACCATCAGCACTGCAGGGATCGGAGGAGAATGCGATCAATTATGCCATCACACCTGGTGGAACAGGAACGCTGAGTCAAGGTTTGAGAAGTTCTTCAGATAATGTTTGGAAAGGAAGAGGGAACGCCGTAAGTGAGATTAGAGTTTCAAGAACAAGCATGACCTTACTTGCTTTGACACATTTGAATGTTTTCTTTTCTTTTCTATTAGCTGTATGTGCTCAGTAGTGCTGCTTCTGAAGAGTCTTCAAGTTAAACTTTTAATTGAAGAAGTTCATAGTTATTCAGAAACAAGTTTGGCTTGAGCAGCACAACAGGCTGTTTTTCTCTTTTGTTATATTTAACAGCACACTTCCCCATGATTGTGTAGCTTAGTGAACCAAACTGAGAGACCATTTTGAAGGCTCAGGAAACCTTTGCAGGTGTTTTGAGTTGATTAGCTGATTGGCATGTCACCATATTCTAATTTGTTGAGATAGTGAATTGGTGGGTTTTTGTTAAATGTGAGCCAAAATCATCACAATTAAAAGAACCAAAGACTTAAACTACTTCAGTCTGTGTGCATTGAATTTATTTAATACACGAGTTTCACAATTTGAGTTGAATTACTGAAATAAATGAACTTTTTGTGTGTGTGTGTGTGTGTGTGTGTGTATATATATATATATGTATGATTTTTTAAGAACTTCAGGAAATAATATAAAATGATAAAATAATCTATAATTTGAACAATTATTTACATACATTCAATTGTTATTTTTAATTACACAGCATGGCATTCTGGAAATATTGTTGGTGACCATATATAATTACTAGATGTGAAATTGTCAATATATTATTGACATGTTATGTTCATATATTATTTCATCATTTCTGTGGAAATATGCTCTCTTCGTGGTTGCAAGGAGGTAAAAATATCCAAGCTTCCTTTAGAAATGAGTAAAACTGTGTTTTGGAGACAGATGTCCATCTAAAGCCTGATCTGCTGGACCTCTGCAATTGATTCGATGAGAGTTTTGCTGCAGGCTTTTTATTTGAGTCATATTTGGCTGAAGTTCACCTTCACCACTGCGTTGAGTAATGAACCATCAGCACTGCAGGGATCGGAGGAGAACGCGATCAATTATGCCATCACACCTGGTGGAACAGGAACGCTGAGTCAAGGTTTGAGAAGTTCTTCAGATAATGTTTGGAAAGGAAGAGGGAACGCCGTAAGTGAGATTAGAGTTTCAAGAACAAGCATGACCTTACTTGCTTTGACACATTTGAATGTTTTTTCTTTTCTTTTCTATTAGCTGTATGTGCTCAGTAGTGCTGCTTCTGAAGAGTCTTCAAGTTAAACTTTTAATTGAAGAAGTTCATAGTTATTCAGAAACAAGTTTGGCTTGAGCAGCACAACAGGCTGTTTTTCTCTTTTGTTATATTTAACAGCACACCGCACAATGTGCTGCTATTTAAAGCGCACCGATCTTTTCCTGTGTGTGAGAAGACGTTTACAATGAATCGTAGAGCCTGTGTCTGTGCGGAAGGATGGATTTCAGCAGCATGGAGTGATATAACAATGACTCTAGTGCTACTGTGTGCTTTTTCCCAGGAGGAATTAGTAGTTTATGTGTTAAAGTACTATAGGAAAGTGATACAGCGATGATTTAGACTTTGGGTTCAGAGTTTGTATTTAAGTATTGAAATTCACAGGAATTATTATTCATGCTGTTTACTTTTTTAATGCATGTTTGTGGTGTTATTTTAAATCAGTTGTTTTCCAAATTGTTTGTAATCATAAATCAAAATGTACAAACTTGCTCCACCTTTGAAATGCCTTTCCGTTTCTGCTGACATCATCAAGCCCTTTTATTTTGCAACTTTTCAACATCCAATCAATGCATAAAATCAAGTCCCGCCCTACATTTTGCATTTTAATATCTTGTTTCATTCAGAAACACACTACTGTTTAAAAGCTTCTGGTCTGTAAGATTTTTGATATTTTGAAAAAAGTCTCTTATGCGCAATAAAGCTGCATTTATTTGATAAAAAATACAGTAAAAACAATAATATTGTGAAATATTATAACAATTTAAAGTAGCTGTTTTCTGTTGTAATATGTTTCAAAATATAATTTATTCCTGTGATGCAAAGCTGAATTTTCAGCATCATTACTCCAGTCTTCAGTGTCACATGATCCTTCAGAAATCATTCTAATATGCTAATTTGCTGCTCAAGAAACATTTCTGATTATTATTAATGTTGAAAACAGTTGTGCTGCTTGATATATTTGTGGAAACTGTGATACTTTTTTTCAGGATTCTTTGATAGAAAGTTCAAAAGAACAGCATTTATTTGAAATAAAAAAAATGTTTGTATAATGTTATGAAGGAATTTACTGTCACTGTTGATCAATTTAATGCACCCTTGCTGAATGAAAATATTAATAAAAAAAAATTACTGACCCCAAACTTTTAATTGGTAGTTTATATCATATTACGGAAAAATAAATGGTATTTTATATTGTTTTGAAGTATTTAGATTTCTCATTTAGGTTCTCAGTGTTGTCTTTTTAGGATGGATGACGTCTTAAACCAACTTAAGGTGGTTTAGCTGGTCTGTGCTTGTTGTGGTTGGTCTGTTAAATGCTTTTAGAGCAGTATTGGGCACTTTTCAGGAGGCCAAACCGGAAGAGCATCTTAAACCAGCATGTGTTTTCAGCAGGGGTAGATCATTTTAGCTTCTGCATCTGTCTAAAGTGAGTTACATTGCTAATCTGAAGGTCTGTGTTTGTAGTTCAACACTTCCTGCAGGACGTGTGGTTTCTTATCTGTCATTACAGTACGAGTTTTCAATTACAGAAGCACAGATGAAAGTGAAATTCAGCCTGTTCGGAGTGAGGTTTATCTGCAGCCGGCTATTCTTTCCAATGTAGAGCCAATAATGAGGATTTAGCTATTATCTTTTCTTTTTCCCACGTTAGCAATTTCAGCCATTAAGCCATGATTTCCACTTTACATTAATGACCGCTTTTGAAATATTGTAGCTTAATTGACTTCACTATACATTCTGTGATTTTAAAGTCTCCATGTGGCCATTCATTAATAAATCTCTCTCTCTCTTTCTCTCTTCATGACAGGTAACAGAAGTGTGTGGTGCTAAGCGGCTTGGCTATTTCGGCTGTGGACAGTTTTACGTGGCTCTGAAGCTGATGGCCGCGGTGCAGGCGGGTTTGCCGGTACGTCTGGAGAGCATCGCAGGTGGTAAGTCCTCAGCCTTTCGTGAACAGAGGGAGAACCAAAGGGGATCAGGGATTTGGCCTAGCGTGCTTGGATTTACGCTAAAGGGATAACGCACAGAGGCCGTGCTGCACGGAGAGCGCGCCACACGCTGAGCTAAAACTCGCTGAGACTGAGCCTGTGTGAACTAAACCACAGGACAGTTTCCTCAAACGCTTCTGACTGCCTCCTTTTATGGTCTTGCCCTTTAAATCTGAATTTATACATTAGAAGTTCACTTTTTCTTGTGTGGCGTTACAGCAGTGCTTTTACTGACAAATTATGAATGAATCCTGATAAGCAATACATAATGTGAAAGCCTTATTACTCAAGATTATGACATAATTGTTTCATCATTATTTATTTTTTATTAATTAATTTTACTTTAGAATCCACCATAACAAATTAGTGGGTCTTACAAAAAACAATCAACAATACAGTAACTAAAAATTATTTAAAAAAAAAATTGAACTCCAATTTTAGAATGAAAAAAATTTGCATTTGCAATATCCATAACCAATTATTATTTATTATTTCTGCAAAAACAGAGATGCAATAAAAGCAAAATATACATTATTGTTATTATTATTATTAGTAGTAGTATTAATGTTAATATTATTGTTGTTGTTGCTAATTTTATTAATCAATTATTATGTTAATTCATATTATGTCTTACTATTTATAAAAGTAATTATTTATAAATTGCATATGCATATTATTAGTTATTAGTATTATTAGTTATTAATTCTGCAAAAAAAAAGTCAGTTAAAATAAAAACAATGCATTAAGAGTATTTTATGATGGTGATGATTGTTATTATTATTATGTTTTTAATTAAATCTATAATATTTATTTTATTTATAAATGCATAACCGATTGTTCATTATTTCTGCTAAATAAAGCCCATAAAATAAAACATTATTTTTTATAAAAGATTATCGCATAAAACATAAAACAACATTATTAGCTAAATTATTAATATTAGTATTATTAATATTATCTTTATTGTATTTCATTTAATTAAATTATTTATTTAATTATTGTTAGGGTAAACAATTTAAATTAATATTCTTATTATTCATAAAATAACTATTTATATAATTACTTTTATTAATTTTTAATAAAAAAAACTTTTACTTTTCAACCTAAATTATCACCGGTTTATTTGAATGTTAAGTAATTATGCATTTTATTTGTTAAATAAGCAAATTATTTTTATCTGTGAGCACCATTGTTTCCTGTTGAACACCTTAATAACTGAGTTTTGCTTGTGCAAGCACCACTAGTTTCCAATTTCAATAATATTATCCAAAATGCTGGTATGTAACTGTTGGGCCTGAGTTCAAATATTCAAATATTAAAAACTAAATATTAATAGAGCCAAAACATTTCCTAAATGTATTTACTTAAACACGGCGATGTCGAGCACTAGGCTGATTCAGAGCTCAGCACAGCTCCAGGCCACCCTGACGGGCTGAAATGAGGCGATCGGAGCCTGGATTAGTCTTTAATCCTGGTACAGACTGTTACTCAGGAACCCGCTGGCCTGCGAGACCCTCACAGTGGAGAGAGGAGCACAGATGACCTTTCGTCGGCTTCTGTTTAACCCACAAATGACTTTACCTGGCACTTTTACTGTGGGAAGACGAAGAGAAAGACTGAGTTTGTAACCAGGAAAGATGACCTCAAAGGTTCCTTTGAGAGATGATTGGCTGGGTTATGTTTACTTTTTGAAGAAGATTATCTAGATCAGCACTTTTCAGTCCTGCTCCTGTTTCTGTGCAAAGTTTAGCTCTTGCTAAACCAGCTAATCAGGGTGTTCGGGTTCTGTTTGAACATAATCCAGTTTTTCGCAATTCAGTGATCACAAAACAACGCAAAATAATTTATTTTTTTTGCAATCCTGCATAATTCACTATTTAACCCGCAAATTAGTCTGATTAAAAATAATAATAATAATAATAAAAAAAATACATAAATGAGGAAAATTACATGCAGAATGTGCATAATGTCAAAAAGAATTACCAGGACATATTTTTTATTTTTCATAACTAAAAATAACTTGTTTAAAAATTGTAATAAAAAGTTTTATCATACAGAAAATAAATACGATTTCTACCTTTTTCATTTCATGTATGACTGTTGTACATCTAGTAGGGGTGTAACGATTCACTCAACTCACGATACGAATGCGATACGATTCACGATACTGATTTCACGATACAATTTTCTCATCAATGTAAAATTTAAATATGTCAAATCTAAATTGAATTTTAAAAAACAAATCCCAAATAAAAAAATGAGAAATACAAATAAAAGCAATCTCTTCATATAAACAAACTAAAGGCGGGGCGTACACGGTGCGATTTTTGCTGTCGTACGAGCTCGCAGGCGATTTTTTTTTTCTCTCGGGAGAAAATCGCAGATGGTCGCGGCTCGTACCGTGTGAGAAGAATTACGGGCCGATCCGAGACGTTACGAGCACCTCCCGTCCTCCCGATAATTTTCAAACATGTAAAAAAAATCGAATGCTGTCGGTTTAAATTCGTGGCGTATGTGGTTGAACGAGACGATCTGGCGATCCATCTGAAGTTGACCAATCAGAAGATGACAAAAACCATATAGTCCATAATAATTTTAGTTTAATTATACAGTTCTGTTTTTTTATTTGTTATTCCGAATGTGCCAAATTTGCTGTTCAGCTTTATGAATGAATATGCCTATTGTATTTCCGGCAAAACGAGCAGAAATTCAGAAATGGCCTACTCCCTCGAGTTCTTTATGAAGAACAGAAAGTCCATGCTTTTCTCTGCTTTTCAGCCATCCTCTTTGCCATTCCTTTGTCTTCGTTTTTTTTTTTTTTTGGACGTCACAACCCCCCTGCCACAAAGAAAACTATTTCATCCTCAGCAAGCCGCCTGCCACAAAGAAAACTATTTCGTCCTCAGAATTCATATTTTTATGAATGGCGCGAAACGTAATGCTTACGTCAGAGTTTGTAAAATCGTAGTAAATTCGTGTCGTGTGTGACTGCCTCCGTACGATTATCGGATAAACTCAATCGTGACATGTGCCAGAGCTCACGACGTTCCGACCTTCAGAATCGCACAGTGTACGCCCACCTTAAAGCTTTGCCTGTGCTCTTTTCATTTAAAATTAGAGGCAACCATTGTATTTTAATCACGATCCAAACAAAGGTGCTGCATACATGCAGGGTGAGTAGTTTTTGATTTAAATGAGATTATGAGAGATAGATTAGAGCGTTTCCTTTGTCACCGCTGTAAACAAAGCAGCGCTGCCATGCATTACAAAAGAGGCAAGATAAAAAGAAAGTATCATCTAAACTTTTCTGAAGTCAGTTCTCCTCACAGATACAGTCATATAAACCCCCACCCCCAAATGTATCGCGATTCGTTTAACATCTCAACCGACTTGAATCGTCACATATTTTTATCGATTTTCAACCGGCTCGGGGTGCACCATTACATCCCTAACATCTAGTCTCATACATAATATGATCTGTCATATGACTAGTGTATACCTAGTGTCATATGTAATATCATTTACAGCCACAAAATCAGTCATTTATCAGTCAAAATTAGCGAATAATTATATATATTTTTTTTACATTTTTACTTTTTATTAATGATTATTCATTATTAATTAATACCTTGTTTAAAATGTATGTGTGAGAATTTGATAAGATAGAAAAATAAACAAGCTTTTTTATTTTTTTTGGCTGTTGTGTATGACTGTTGTACATCTAGTGTCATACATAATATGGTACATGTGGTATCGTAAATATAAAAATCATAAAATTATAATTAAAAAAAAAAAAGTCACTTTGACTGTAAAGAATCACAAAAAAAAGAAGTACAATCCTGGTGGGATGACTTAATCTGCTGTAATCAATTAATACAATTAATTTTAAAAATCTTGTTTAAAACTTGTGTCATAATTCAATAAGACGTCAAATTAAACAAGCTAAAAAAAGTCTAAATAAATGCAAGAAAATAGATAAATTATTAAAATAAATAGGGAAATCCTGAAGGGACTGTTTAATCCACTGTACACAGAAAATAGTATGAGTAGTATGCTGTAAAGAACATACTGACATGTACCCTTCTCTACAGAACTTCCTCTTCCTGTGTTTGTCGGGATAACAAACGAGCTTGAGATGCGTTACCCCAATCAACCCTTGACCAATGAGAGCCAGTCTCACATCCTGGGCTCGGTTGCAGGCTCCGCCCCTCGTCCCCCTGCAGACAGACCTGTACTCAGACACCCTGACACCAGCATGGACAAGCTGGTCGGTTTATCAAAGATGACATGCAGCAGTAGCTTGAAACTTTTCCTCTAATTAATGATGATTATAATGAATGTGTTTCACACTTGTATCTGACAGGAGGCGTGGTCTCCACCACAGTCACCTGGCATCTCCCCGCCCCGTTCACCATCAGCCTATCGCAGCTATCCATATGGTGCACAGAGAAATGGAACAGACACACTATTGGGTGAGTCTCTTGTCAGTCATTCTGTATTCAGAAAGACCTGACAAATTAACCTAAACCTGAAAATGTAGATAAATAAATAAATCAATTTATATATATATATATATATATATATATATATATATATATATATATTTAAATATAAGCATCACTTTTTCCAGTTTAATGCATCCTTTCTGAATAATTAAAAGTATTAATGATAGTGAACATGACATGAAAATTATGTTTTCCACAAAAATATGAAGCAGCACAACTGTTTTCGACATAATAATTAGAAATGTTTCCTGAGCAACAAATCAGCATATTAGAATGATTTCTGACGGATAATGTGACACTGAAGACTGGGGTAATGATGCTGATAATTCAGATGTGCATCACAGGAATAAATTATATTTTCAAATCTATTCAAATAGAAAACAGTTATTTTAAATTGTAATAATATTTCACATTTTACATTTTTTTATTGTATTTGTAATCAAATAAATACAACCTTGGTGAGCAGAAGAGTCTTCTTTCAAAAACATTAAAAAAAAACTTACTGACCCCAAACATTTGAACGATAATCACTATATAAGATTTGCTTGGAAAATATAGTAAAGTTTGGGTGAATGCATAGCATTTGATATCAAATGCTCCTCCATTTTTAAAACTAATTTTAAAGCCATTTTAATTTGCTATGCTAACCACATGATTATGGTGCTTTTTTATTATTTGCAATGTTTTGCCTGCTGGGAATAAAATTAATAGAAATGTAATTACTGCTAAACAAAATATACTTCTAAAACAGGATTTAATGTGCCAGAGCCTTAAATGCAATACTTTATTGACTTTATTGATAGGGGGTCACAGAGTTTTTTTTTAGGTCATTTTGCCTTATGGAGAATAAATATATGGACTTACAGATGATCATTTGCATCAGTAAATACTCAAATCATTAAAACACAGGATGAAACCTCTTCTTAAATGATGCATCAAGGACCAGGAGTTTTTTCCAGCAATTCCTATGGGAATGTGAAAGTAGATATTTCCACATTCACACATGCAGTGATGCTGTTATTAGATAACACAAGCACATGTCACACAGCCGATGTGTTTCACACACTGTAAGAGTAGACGTCGCTCGGTACCCTGATTCTGTCAGACAGCTGTGTGTGTGTCTGTGTGGGTTTGTTTGTGTGTGTGTGTGTTTTAGTGTGCGTTCAGCCTTGAGCTGCTGTCTGCCCTCAGAAAGCAGTTGGCTAATTGCTGCTCTCCTGTGGCGTATCGATATCACGCTCGTCTAATCACACACCTGTTGACCTTCAGCTCATCCACGAGCAGCACACTCAACAGACAGCAGTTCTGATGAAACACACACACACACTTTCCTGAGAAAATGCCTTAAGGCTAAATATTTAACTAAGTTTAATGTAATAATGTACTCTAGTGTGCTTCATCTATTGCTGGTTGTCCCCCTTGGCACACTGCACCTAAAATGTCAAAAGATGTTGATGTGTGATGCAATTATGCACTTCAACTTACTTTATTGTGCACTTGTCAGAAAGCAGAATCACTGATTCTTGTACACGTCACCAGAAATTACAAGGTTGGCTGTTAAAATCTAGTATAAATTAAGTAAAAATGCTAAATATTTGCAATAGATGCAAGATTATAAATTCATGTACAAATACATAATGCAGACTGCTATGCGGATGGTATTTTCACATATACAATAGCGCCCTCTCCACTACAGTAGGAGGTAGTGCATGAGGACAAACTCAGTAGAGATTAAAGGGATAGTTCACCCAAAGATGATAATTTGATGTTTATCTGCTTACCCCCAGGGCATCCAAGATGTAGGTGACTTTGTTTCTTCAGTAGAACACAAACGAAGATTTTTAACTCAAACCGTTGCAGTCTGTCAGTCATATAATGTAAGTGGCTGGGAATCACGGCTTTGAGAATCAAAAAAACATACACAAACAAACCCAAATTAAACCCTGCGGCTTGTGACGATACATTTATGTGTAATGACACGAAACGATCGGTCTGTGCAAGAAACTGAACAGTATTTCTATCGTTTTTTACCTCGGATTTTCACCGCAATGTCCGAACTGTCCTGAGCGCGTTCTCAACAGCCGGCGCATGACGCGCCGCCGCCGCCTTGCTTTACGGTGGATCGCAGACCTATAAGTGCATTACCGCCACCTATCTCTCAAATGGACCATTGACACTCCTAATGGAGATAGTAGATAGTGTCAAGGGTCCATTTGAGAGATGGGTGGCGGTAATGCACTTATAAGTCTGCGATCCGCTGTAAAAAAAAGAAGAAGAAGAAGACTCGTCAGGCGCCTGCTGCTGAGAACGCGCTCAGGACAGTTCGGACATTGCGTGAATCAGAGGTAAAAAACGATATAAATACTGTTCAGTTTCTTGCACAAACCGATCGTTTCGTGTCATTACACATAAATGTATCGTCACGAGCCGCAGGGTTTAATTTGGGTTTGTTTGTGTATGTTTTTTTATTCTCAAAGCCGTGATTCCCATTCACTTCCATTATGAGACTGACAGACTGCAACGGTTTGAGTTAAAAATCTTTGTTTGTGTTCTACTGAAGAAACAAAGTCACCTACATCTTGGATGCCCTGGGGGTAAGCAGATAAACATCAAATTATAATTTTTGGGTAAACTATCCCTTTAACTGTACATTTTACCTATATACAAATTATATAACAAATATTTTAAGTTATTCTATCTATCTATCTATCTATCTGTCCGTCCGTCCGTCCGTCCGTCCGTCCGTCATGTGTTCAAATATACAAATATTTAATAATCTCAACTAAAGCAAATGATTGTGAATAGCAAGTTGATTGAGGGATGAACTGTGGTGATATTCAGCGTTAGGAAAGAGCTTTTATCTCATTGTTAACTCCGGCCATGAACAGAGAAACGTCAGCGTTATTGAATGCAGCTCGGCTTTCTTCATTAGTCAGCAGGGAACATTAATACTTCATTTAAAATCTACACATAAAATAAATGATGCTCAGTAAGGCCTTCAGATGTAAAGAACACTCAAGAGATCAAAACCCAGTCAGGCCTCTTTTATTCTTTCAGATTGCAGTCATATCAAAGATCATGGTCATCACTGACCTCATACTGAATTATGGATGCTCGTTCAGTGTTTTACGTTTCAGTGCTTTCACTCTTGTTTGGTTTTAGTTGAGTCTGAAGTGTGTCTTTTATCTCACATGCATCTGCTGATAGCGTTTACAGTGCTCTGAAATGTTTTGATGCCAAAAACCGTGATCACAGTAAGGAAATGCTACACGCTGTCAACTGTAAAGTCATTTTGTCTGTCTTCGTCTTGAAATGTTCACTCTCTCTTGTTGTTGTTCACAGTGCATGACGCTAAAGTGCCGGGTCGTCCCAGCGTTCCTCAGGAAAACTCCTCTCCCAGTCATTATTCTGTCAAGCTGCAGCCGGAGCAGCCTGTCATCACACGCGTGAGCATTTCCTCCCACCTCCTAATTTTTGCATCTGATTGGATGATCGAACAGAACTCTGGGTGTCAGTCTTAAATGACGAAACATATTAGGGCTCTAAATCAGGATTTAGGTCATGACACTGCTTTTTAAAAGTGTATTTGCTTGCTAGAATATCAGTAGTTTCAAGTCAGGGCACATGCACCGGGGCCCGTATTTGGTTTTGATGTGCTTACAAATAATATAAGATAAATCACATCCAAATTGATTACAGACATGAGCTTAAGATATCAGTACAATTTAAAGCGAAGAGAAAAAGTTTTTCAAAAATCCCACACGCTACCGTAGCTTGTAACCTTTGTCAAGCATTTCATAATTTCACAATGCTTGATGAAGATCAAATGACTGACACGTTAATAGTAATATATTGGATAATAAATATGAATTATATTGTGTTTGCAAGCTACAGTAGTGTGCAGTAGGTACTACTAGGTATATATTAATATAAAATAAAAAATAAGGGAGATTCACAGGAAATTCGAGATTTGATCATTTAACATATATAGAGATATTTTAATATATATTTAAATCTTGAATTTCTTGATCATTTTTGTTTATTTGAAAATCTAAAACAAAATGTTCAGTAGAATAAACCTACGTAAGGCTTACCTATAGTTGTGTATTAAGTTTAATAATAAGATATGCTGAGAAAAAGTGTTTTGAAAAAAAAAAAGTAATCTTCAAGAAATAATATAAAGATATTTTCATTAACATTAGTATTATTGATGGCATGTTTCATAGATGATATTTCAGAAATGTTGAGCTTTAATTATAACTCATTATATTCTGCTATGTTAGCTTTTAAAAACTAGTCGGTTCCTTTTATATAAAAAGCATTCAGAAGCTCTTTTTCCATTTATTGACTGATCATCAAGAGCCTGCTGCTTCCTTGACATCAGTGAAAGGCATACATAATTGAAAAATATTTTCATCTTCATGCTTTATAGGTCTCCTCAGACAGTTGTTTTTCTCATTCAGGTTGCATCTGTGGAGCGGCTGGTGGAGCGCTTGGAGGTCGATTACTCCGACGACCCCTGGAGGATCACAGAGGAGCAGCGTGAATACTATACCAACCAGTTCCGGAGTCTCCAGCCTGACCTCAGCGCTCTCATCATGGGTAAGAGAGATCTGCACCACAAACACATCTGAGATCATCTCATGCTGTTCGATTTATGACTTTATGTGGACACGTTTGAAGTTTGCTTTGGTTTTTCTTTCAGGAACTGTTGCAAAAAACTTCTTTACCAAGTCGAAGCTTCCGATTCCAGAGCTGTCTCATATATGGTGAACATAAAACCTAAGTTCCTCTTAAACATGCAGTGAACCGTCTCTTTGCATTCAAACAATCTTGTTTGATCTTCTTCAGGGAGCTGAGCGATGTCGACAAGGACGGTGCTCTCACTTTCCCGGAGTTCTGCACTGCCTTCCATCTGATTGTGGCCCGGAAAAATGGTTACCCTCTTCCTGAAACGCTCCCTGCCACGCTGAGACCGGGCTTTGTGGAAGCAGGTGTGGTTACAGCGCCACCATCTGAGGTATGAGATCTAAAACTCACAAAATGCCTACAGTATTTGCACCTGAAGTATTTAATGATGTCTAGGTTAAAACTGTCCAGTAGTTCTTATTCAGGATCATGTTTTGCAATTTTGAAAAAGTTCAGATTGACAATTTTGAACTGAGCTCCAAATGCAATTGTTTTAGAGGCAACTCTACCTCTTATTGTCTTTGATGAAAATATGATGCCTGGAGCCAATCAGCTCGTAAGAAGAGCTTCATTTTACATTTATGCCAAGATCACAATGTTCCGTACATTTCGTTATGTCCTTGTCTTATCTCTCCTCCTCTCTCTCTTTTGATTGGCATGATGATAATCTGCACACAGTATTGCAAAGCATCAAAACAAATACACAAATACAAAACAAACATGTATGTATGTGTGTGTGTGTGTGTATATATATATATATATATATA